GCTAAGTTAATGGTATGTAGATTGCTGGAGTAAGGTCACGTACTGGTCCATATCGTGGTGTAACAGCCATGTTCAATGGATATCACCTAAACCTTGGAAAACACCAAGCCTCATATAGTCAAATATATATAGGAAGTGGATCGAATAATGAGGTCAATTTTATGCAGATAGGTCTAATGGTAAGTTTTACATTTTTATTGGGATTTGTTATTATTATTGATCCATTCATTAATTCTTTGGATATACTGTTTAGTATTGTAAGTTTTTTTTTTTTATAGATAAATCCAACCGTATATGGCTATGGTGTTTGGTCATATGGATTTTGGAAGGTATGCATGTGAACAATTTTGATTTTTAGTTCTCCGTACTTTGTGTATTAGTATATATGTTATATATTTTCAGTTTCTAAATATATTGAAATCCTTAAATCAAAATAACATGCAAACGTTAATTATGATTTGGATAGGGTAAAAATGGACAAGGATGTTATAATACAGCATGTTCAGGGTTTGTTCAAGTATCGCATGAAGTTCCCATCGTCGAACCCATTAAATTTAGAGCGGGGAAGCTGTTTGGTTACGTCGCTCCATCTATCAGGTATTTTCCTTATTTTATTATTTTATTATATACTTTTTATTTGTTTTTCATTTGGTTTTTTCTAATTTCTACGGAAATTCTCAAAGTCATTTCTACTTGGTAGTGAAGGATCGAGTGATGAATCTTAAAATTATTTATTTATGAATCAAATTTGTGATCGATGTATCAAGACTATAACTTCTCTAGTCGAAACACTTTTCCTTTCAAGTAATGTGATTAACACGTTTTTTTGCCAATGTTTATTTATTAACAAGTGAATTTTGTTTTGCATGTAATGAACACCAAAAGGATAAACAAACAGGAAATTGGTGTGTTACAAATTTGTCGCCTAACATAAATATTGGCTATTGCCACGAGAACTATTTAATCGAGCAAATATGGTTGGAATTGGAGGTGTGGTTCAAGCTTCTCGTTTTGGTCTAAGCCCTCCTAAGGATGCTGCGACGACACATCACGTTTCAAAATATTGAAGTCTTAAATTCTAACTATGAGAAATGTAGAATCGATTCTTTTTCTATAGAGAAGTTGTTAGATAGTACAAAATGTTATGGGCTAAGAGTCGGGACATACACACATCATCTTAGTCCACGTGGTTACTTTTCCGATTATGGTTGTCCAGGAGGAAATTCTTGTGGAATTTGACATTTATAGTTTCATCTTTAGCCTTAGCATTCTATATGCATTTTCTAAGTTAATAATATAAAAATTTTATACAGTTTCTAAGTTAATAATATGAAAAATTTATACAGTCAAACTCTTTTCCTTTTTTTTTTCTCTGTTATAAAATTAAACTATACAAAAATGCTCGCCGTTCTGTTCAAATTTTGTTTAACTTAGATTTTGCATCTTCTTTCGTTTTTCACCGCCAAAATTAATGCAACAATGGAAATAATATTTTGTGCATCTGTTAATATGATTATTTTGGTGGTCGAAGCATGAACTAGAAGGACACTAAGGAGTAATAACTCATACTAAATGTATTGTATCTGTCTTTCTATTTTTTTAAGTGAGAGCATGAGATTTTAAAATCATAATTAATGACAATACAGAGACAAGCAAACAAACGTCAAGGAAACGTTCGAAAATGAAATCAATGAAATTGTTCTCAAAACTAATAAATTTTGTTTTACATGTACTAATTGTACTATTCCCCCTGCAAATTAAAGCAATGTCTTTTATCTATTCCACGATGGCAGAGATTGATGATTTTCAAAGAAGTGTAAACAAAGACTGAATTTATAACACTCGTTCCCCGATCACTTTGAGCCCTAGGTCTCGTGTCCTAACTTGCTCAACAAGCAACATACATGTACACATTAAAAGGAAAAAAAAGGGATGAGCAATTCCGGGAAGAAATTACTCAGTGAAAAAATTACCCGCAACAACTCTAATACTTGAAAACAATAAGCAATCAAACACATTAAATAGAAATTGAACATGCATCACCCAACTTATTACTAGCAACATAACATTCATACCTAACATTTCTCCACCATAATCTCTTTTACCTATACATTATCATACTTAAACATTTCACCTTTCACATTCTTTACTTTCCACGTTCGTTACTTAACTTTTTACTTCCTTTACTTAATAAATCACGGCGGAGCCAACCCCTTTCTCGCGTTTTGGGTCTGTCCTCCCCGTCATGGCCCTTTAAGGCTAATGGAACTACAACGGGCTTACATACGCGATCATCCGTAGTCCAACAAGCAAAGTTCTGCAACGGGCTTACATGCGCAATCGTCCGCAAAACTATCATATACTCTAACAATCTCAAACAATTAATTTTAAATCTTTAACATTCTTTCTCTACCTAGCACCATACAACTTTTTCAAACAGTTTTCACACATCAAACAATATTACAAATTACCACATAGCAACCAGCAAACATCAAGCATCCCTAGACTTAGCATATATAACCAACAACATCACATTCCATTCCTAGACTAAAATGTAAGAACATCTACTGTTAACTAGTATTAAAGTAATCTAGACAACACCCTCACCTTAGCCTTTATGGATAGATTGACATGGAAGAATGAACATGGAAGAATGAGCTATTGCGAATCTGTGATTAGGAAACCATGTTTAACATTCCATTATTAAACGTCCTAAAATGTTTATTCGGTTTGGCCAAATTATACCAGTCAGACGAAAACAACAATAACTTCTTACACGTACCTCAGATCAAGACAAACTCGGTGCCTCTGGAAAACCAAGACTCGGAGCTTTCCAATGATATCCAAATCATCTTCTGAGTTCTTACAGAACGACGATAAATCAGCTTGAAAGTCCTCTGATTGGATTTAAGAATAGAAATTCCAGTTTCAGAAACAGTGATTTTTCTCAACATTGAAACACGATTTGCGAGCAGACCATACCTCGTAATTCAAATACGAAAGAAGATACAGAAACTAGAATCCGTGATCTTTTCAAAGAAACCCAAATCAACATCTAGTTTTTTAGGACTTGGCCGGAAATCACCTGCGAAGTCGACTGGTCGCATGTTCATTCTGCACAGATCAGTCCCATAAAACACCAATAACTTTCAGATCATAACTCCGAATGACAAACGGTTTTCGGCTATAGAAAGGTATGTGTCTCGCTTACAAGCTAGAAAGTTTCATTCAATTCCGATACGTTTTACCTGTCCGTTTCTCTCCTTCCATAGAGCGGGATAGATGTGCC